TGGCGTCGGAGCCACGCTCGGCTCCAGGAGTGCGTCGTAGGGCGCTTCTCGTTGGAAGGTTGGCATTTCGGCTTCCCGTTGAAGTGGGGGCCGCGCGAATGCGTCGGCCGCGGTCGCCAGCGTGAGCAAATCCGAGAAGTCGGTCTGCATCGTCACGGTAAGCGCTGGTTGCGCGAGGACTCGTCACTCGGCAGCAGTCGCCACACACAGACGTACCAGGGTTCTGGTCGTCAGCCCTTTTGTTGGGCGCCAAATTGTGGTTCTCCTTAGGGCCACTGCCTTTGGGAGTTCCACGTTCGCGGCGAGACGCTCTACCGCGAAGCGGGTTCGTACTCGCGTGGCATGCTGCTCGTCGAGCGCAATGAGACACCAGTCATGTTGGTAACGGTGATAAACTGTTTATTTACAATGAAACAAAATAACAACAACACAGCGGCTATAAGCTGGTGAACGCCGTCGGTGTGGAGATCGCCCACGGCCGAACGGTCGTTCACAAAGGTACAAAGGACGGGGTAAACGCTCACCGGTGCGCCGGAAGGTTCCCCGTTGTCACCGCCGCCGAATCCCAGGAAGAAGAGAGAAGCGAGACTCCTGTCCGCTGGTTTTAAGATAACGGCGGGGGCGAAGTGGCCAATCAAGGAGCGACACGTCGATCTCCTTTGTGCGGTGGTCCGTTACGGAAATCGCCCCAAGGGGGGAGAGGAGGAAGCCACTCACAGTGGTAAGCAGCGCCACCTCTCGCTACGCCAGCGCGGCCGCCACGGCGCGCCAAAACGCTGACGCGACAGAATGTTGAGGGATCACAATCCCCACAACCCAGAACATGCATGTTGGCACATATTCATGACCAGAAAGAATAAAGCAGCACTTATTTATTGCGAATCAAACTATACTACGTGGCTTTCAATTCATTTTGATCGCCTGCATGCACAAGGAGTTACTTATCCAGTGTTACTGCGTACTTCTTGCCGTCTCTCTTGATTTCCTACATGGACTTCGTTCGTTTGACAGGTATATCCCCCATGGTGGAAAGCGCCGACGCCGTGTTCGCGCTAACAGTGTCCGACAGTGCACAAAAGTACATGTACGGAGCGGTTTTAACACCGTTTTTCATGCCACGAATTTCAAGTAAAAACGCTGTAACTGACCAATTATTTCGTCTGCGTGACTGAGAAATGTTCCAAGCCACCTAGTACATACGAATAATTCGTGATATTTGCTGTTATAATCGAGCGCAGAGAGAAAATGCACTCGCTTTTTCCCATAGAAATAAATTACCGGAAGTCAATTTTCGACTGGTTGCTATTTGCTTCAATTTGTAGCTAGAGTTCCTGTATATGCTACCTACGGTAGCAGAGTTGCGCATACAGCCTCGGCGCGTGGCCATAGCGCCGGCATTCCCGCACGAGGTGGATGCTTTGCTCTTCACGTGACTAAATTTGGCGAATAGCGGCGCCGCGCGCGCCGCCGCGCATGGAAAACAGGAGAGGAGGAAAAGGAGGCGGAAAGCAGGGAAACACACGCCGGGGCAAGAGAAACGTCGGCGGAGCGACCGTAAAGGTGGCTTTCTTGCACGCCAACGGATGCTTTGCTCCTCACGTGATGGATCTCGGCGAATAGCGGCGTGGCGGCGCGGGGAAAACAAATGCGCAACTCTGGCTCCCGTAGGGAGCCTATACAGGAACTCTATTTGTAGCAGCACTCTAGCGCCAGTTTAACCTCTAGCGTACATTATTATAACTTTATGGTGGCTTCACTCCCGGAAGCGGGAAGCGCGATCCAGCAATTGTCATAGAGATCAACGGGTGTGCAGTCCAAAATCCAGGGCGCGGCCGTGAAAGCAGGTAGAGAGTAACGTGGAAACATGCTGAAAATAGCCAACATAGCTAACATCCCCGGGGGGGGGGGGGGGGGGGGGAGGAGGAGGAGGATAAGTGTGCACCCCCCTGGAAAAAGTTCTGCGGACGCCCATGGGCGCACGCACAACGTGGGGCACGCAACTCTAACGCAAACTCACACCGCTTGCGTTTGCTTCTATGCGCAATACTAAAACTCTCCAGTAAGGTACAATCCCATACCGGCTGCAGCACTACGTTGGAGCAGTGAAGAGTGTTGTTTGCATTCGGAAACGACATTTCGCGAGCCATGATTGCGAGCAGTTCCGCCATGCCCGCTGAGCAGGAGAATCGGGGTTCTGGAGTTGCAATCGAAGTCCTGGAGGTAAAAGCGAGTATAGTTTTTTCTCAATCGCATTCGCTGTCTCTTACTACTTTTTACTCCCGAATCTCTCGGAGGTGTGCGTCGAATATTCTCCGTTTTGGGCTCGCCAGAAGCACATTAGATAGTGGCTGATGGTTCAAACCTAAGGATCAGATGTCAAAGGCTATAAAAATCTCGGCCGCAAGTTATCAGAGCGCTGAGTAAAGCGTGTTTCACTGCAGCGGTTTTGGCCCGAGAGCGGCGCGATTTCTGCCGTCGCGGCGCTCTGGCCAGCACCAGTGGTTGAGCGGCACGAGCGCCGCGACGGCAGAAATCGCTGCATGTGAACTAGGCTATACACTGTCAGACGCGCTCTGTGCAAACGGCAAAGGGCAGCCCAGGGGTGAGGTGACAGCGCCCCCCGCGAATGTCGGCGGGAGGTGACGATTGCCCCAATTGCATAGGCCGTAAGAGGAGGAAGAGAGCGCGCGCTTCGAGTCCGGCCGTGGCCAGACAAAGCCAAGCGCTCACGCCAGTAGCTTTGACAGCGTTCGGAGTATAGACGAAGGGAGCGGACGATCGTCTTGCATGCTTCGCATTCACAACCCACAAGAAATGCTTCGGTCCACCTCGAGCTTTTTTTTTTTTTTTTCAGACACAACTACCACAGGTAACTGAAGTTGTGGGTTTATCAAGAGCACACACTCAATATTATGAAATAGAAGCAAAACGATACCAACTTTGTGTGGCTTCTAAAAAGCTGCAAATAAGTGGATTGAAGAAACAAGTGTTGCACAGCCACGTGACTTCACAAGACGTCATTCAAAAAGCGCTCAGATGACCACCAGACAAGAGGGGGAGGGGCAGCTTCCCTCTTACCAGGACCTTTTGTGCTTCCGGGATTTGCACAAACGTCGCTATTCTCCCAGATTACAGAGTAACCAGTCCCTCAAAATTCCTACAAAAGCAGTTTCCCTCTCCTCCTCTTACATGGTGGTCAAGTATGCGATGTGACGTCAGCGCAAGCCCCCCCCCCTGTATATATATTCTTCCTCCCTAGTCCAGTTACTATAGATGACAATCTTTACCTTTCATCGATGCGTCCGGAGGTGAGATGAGCACTGCTGAGGCGTGTGAAGAGTGGTGGTATTTCAACGTTTTTTCAGGGGACCCGTTTCCTCCTCTCGACTTTGATTTAAAGACAATTTTTTTACGAAGGAATGGCCCCCATTAACCTTCTATGAATCGGGCATTACGAGACTGATTGACGACCTACCTTCTAACTCGTCCCCAGGCCCTGACAAAAGAACAGCGAAGCTTCTCAAACTTTGGAAATATGAGTGTTCATCTCCTCGTTTTTAAACAATGGCAAGGCCCCGACGTCCGGAAGCATGCTCAAGCAGTTCCAATGTATGAAAGTGGTTCGAAAACCAATATCATTTGACAAGTGCACCCACTAAACTCGTGGAGAGAATTTTCAAACATAATGAACCACTGATGCACGCACAATTACATCTTTGTAAACCAGCACGGTTTCCGAAGGTCCCACTCTGGAGAAACGCAGCTTTGAGTATACTAATGACATACATGAAGACCCACACCGAAATGCACGCCATCTTTGATTTCCAGAAAGCATTTGACTAAGTATCTGATCACTGCCTCATGTTAGAGATCCGTTCATTGACAATACACGTTTTGGCAATGGAGTGGATTTTAACTAGTTTTTAACCGTACACAAAGCGTTAATTATATCGGTAAGATTCACCACCTGTCAAATCGGGTGCGCCTGAGGGAACCTAGCTCGGTGTGTGTTGCTGTTCCTCATACATGTAATTTGACTTGCCAACTTGTATTCGGTCCACAATTAGATTACATGCCGATGACTGCCTGATCTATCGGGAAATAGGCTGGATGACTGCGCACTTTTGCAGAATGACCCGACATGTCTCGAAACATGGTGCGAACAGTGGCAGGTGAAAATTAATGTTTCCAAAACAAAATTTTTGAACTTCAATACCAAACATACAACAGTTCATTTTCATTGCGCAACTATCTTGGGGTCCACCATGTCGCCTCCAACTTTTCATAGGTGCCTTACAAAAATTACATTATTGCAAAGGCTAACAAAACCCACCGTTTGTCAAGGCGACACATCTACCTTACAACACTGGACGCAAGACTGGTTGCATATTCATCTCTCATTCGACCCAAGCTTGAGTATGCATCAGTCATCTGCATCACTCGTATCTAGTCGTTAAGCTAGAAGCCATACAAAACCGAGCTACTCGCCCTTCATACTTCACAACTACACTTGCACGAGCATTACAGCACTAAAACAGCAACTTAAGCATTTTCTCTCAGACTATCGGAAGATGTCAGTTGGTCACCCTGCATCAGTTGCACTATCTCTAGACTGTGAATTAAGAAGAGCAAATCACTTGGAAAAAAAAGACAGGGCAGAGCACTTACTGTCGCTCGCCACCCAAGAAAGATTATTGCAGAGCCACCAGCCACATCTTTAAAAGCTTTTAAGAAATATTGACAACCAATTTACACCAGACAACTTCATTACATTTATATTGCAGCACTCATGTTAACGATGTACAGCTGGGCCTCGCTATCATGGCAACGGCAAAGACTCCTCATCTAAGTGCGGGAAGGGGGTGATTAGCATTTGCCAAGAGATGCTTGTGTCAATCAAAATTCGGGAGTCTCCTGGGTAATGCTGTACACTTGGCAGGTATGTTATACCCAGCCAAAAGTGCACCACCTCACTGCAACTCAAAGTAACACAAGCCACAGAAAGAGGCGAATAAATGACATTTATTTCAAAATGAAGAAAAAAAAAAAAAGCTTTTGCCAGTTGATTTTTTGCATCGATGAACACACGGGACAATACGCTAGATCACAGAGATGAAAAAAAAAAAAAAAAGGAGAAATCTAGAGGGAAAAAAAAGAAGAATCACCAAACAGCATTCTCTGCACAGCACAGCCGGACAGCCCGCCGCACGCCACTGCTTACTGCAGGCCGGCCCCAGCTGCAGCCAGCCGCGCCTGTGGCGAGACTTGGTCAGCGCCCGTGTTCCCAGGAGAGCCCCCCTACTTACGCCCGTCAGAGGGAACAGCAACCGCAGCAGCACCCCAGCAACCGACACGACCGCCTCACTCGTCCAGGAGGAAGATGCATCCGCCGAAGGCAGCCCCCACCCCACCCAAAAGGTACGGAACCCCAAATTCCCCGAGGGACTAACCAGCAGCATCTAGTCCTGCCATGATGGATTAGCAGCCCCAAAGCGCCTCACTTCTGTGCACCCAGAATGAACTGCAGCCTCAACGTTCACCCCTACCACTTCAATGGAGCCTTCTAAATACCCCATTTAAATCCCTAACAGCCCTTCCCAAAAGGGGTTCCCATCAAACCCAGTTTTTTGATACCCAGAAAGACTAAATCCCAGAGGGTTACCGTCATTCTCTAAAAAAAAGGTTGCCCTCAACACCCCGGTTCTCCATACTTGCTGATTGCCCTAAAACCTATGCTTGACCCCCAGGATTAAGCCCCTCAAATTCACAGAACACTTTTCCCAGAGGTATACACTTTTGAAGTGAACTGCAGCTGTTAGAGCAGGGTCAATCAGATAGTGAAGCACCCATAAAAGGTGAAACGATTATCCAGCCTCTTTTCCCAAACACCCACATTTCCCTCAGTATTGAGACTACAGGGAAAAACTCTGGCGTAGCTTCCCTGATCTGGGGTAAACCACTGACATAGCAATCATCTTACGGGGGATGACCTAGCTATCTGGAAGATGGCCTCGCTTTTCTGGGGGAAAACGCTCAGAAGGGAAGGGACATCAGCAGGACCGTCAGCAACACCTCTCCGCCCGAACACAGGCCGGCTGCAAACTGGGCACGGCTCAGCAACACCGCTTTCAAGGACAACCATCCGCCTTACCAACCCCTCAGCGCCTGCAGTCACAGACAGGGGGCAACACAACCACAGGAGAGGTCAGGCCACACCCTACCCGCATCAGGTTGCCAACGACACAAGGAGAAACAAGGCTTTGCTTCGACACCTGGTCGCTACTCAAAGGCGCTGTTTCTTCTTGTGTCCGTTGGCGAGACTCAACAGAGTGCGAATGTGCGTCCAGCACAACTCCTGGAAAGACCTTTGCGCAACAGTCAAGACGTACGTCTTGTCTTCCTCCCAGAAGCTGTGCCAAGCGATCTTTGCAGCTCAGTAAACAATGCAGTGAGGGACTTCAGGTTAGGACCATGCCTTCCCAAGCACAGGGACATCCCTCTCTCAAACAAGGGTGCTCTTAAAAACGGCATGACTCTGCACACAACAAACAAGGCGGGCACGTTACAATGTGCTCACGAATTAACACCGACGGGAAGGGGTTACTCAGTTTGTCAAGAGTGATGGCACGGCGGCACATATTACGGGGAGATTGATACATAACAGCGCTATTCGTTTACAATCCCTAGGCGTCCGGACTGTCTAGGCACACTACAAAAATGTGGCAAAGAAGGAGCATGGGGAAAATATCGAACCCCAGGGAACAAAGCGGTGGAATGGCAATGCCGACTTGAAACAATACAATGAAGTAAAGCAAGACTTTCAAATGAAAACAACTAAGGAGAAAAACGACAAAACAAAGGGAAGCAGGTATTTCAATTGTTCCTGGACATATTGTAACCCAGCAAAAGACACACACAAAAAAAAAAAAAAAAAAACTTTGTGAAGACGAATAAAGGAGCCCCTCACATGTCTGGGTTGGAGTCCTGAGAGGGCGACTTGGAGCGCGAGCGCTCCCGGGAAGCGCCAGGAGAGCCCCTGGCTCCTCCCCCGTTCTCGGCATCCCCGCCTCCTCCGGCAGACGGCGACCTTGCCCGACCGCCCTCCCCCTCCCCCCGGGGACTGCGAGAGCGCGACCTCGACGACCGACCGCCGTCCTTGCCCGCCCTTGGGCTGCGCGATCCGCTGCGTGCCTTCGCCTCCCCATTCACCGACCGGCTGCGGCTCCGGCCCCCTTTCGACTTGCTCTGGTTGCGGCTACGACTGCGGCTGCGCCCCGACTTGGAGCGGCTGCGGTCCTTGGACTTGGATCGGCTGCGTCCCTTCGACTTGGACCGGCTGCGCTCCTTGGACTTGCTCCGGGCCTTGGTCCGGCTGTGTCCCCTCGACTTGGATCGGCTGCGTCCCCTAGACTTGCTGCGACTGTGGCCCTTGGATCGGCTGTGGCCTCTGGACTTGGATCGGCTGCGGCCCTTGGACCGGCTGTGGCCTCTGGACTTGGATCGGCTGCGGTTCTTGGATCGGCTACGGCCCCTTGACTTGCTGCGGCTCCGGGGTTTCGACTCGCGGCGACGGGAACGGCTGCGACTCCTCCGGGACTTGCTTCGACTGCGACTGCGTGTGCGCTTCCTGCCCTTTGAGCGGCTCCTGGAACGAGACCTGTCGGGAATAGACCGCAAGGTCTGTGAGTACCGAGAGGGCAACCACCACGGCAGCCAGAACAAGCTCTAGGCTGGTAGAGACCTAAGGTCACACGAGTGCCAACAAGGTGCGTCATGCTGGTTCTATCATGCCACTCACTCCAGCCAACACTCAAAAGCAGGAACCCAGACTTACACCTTAAAAGACCTGGCCCCAATAAACATACACTAATTTCCTCAAAGGGATGTTGCTGATCCCAACCAAGCCCTCACCTTGTAACAAAACAAAATCCAATGCATACCTATCTGCCAACAAACCACCACCTGTCCCATGTGATGGAAGGATATACTCTAATTCACCCCAAGAACCTTAGGAAGAAAAGTCCTCATGGAGTTGAGATAGGGAATTAAGATTAATGCAACGCAAAATCTCATAAAATGCAAAATGGAGACATAAAATGGAGGTGGGCTATCTGTGGGAATGAAACTGCAAAACTCTATCGAAAATTGAGGATAGACACAAAGGGCACCCACTACAAACCATGTGTTTATCTACACTAAACGTATTTAACCCATTTAAGAAAGTGATAAGCACGCTGGAATTTGCTACAAACTCCACTGAAAAATACTGCAGATGCTGCAAATTTGTGCTTTACGGTGCAATAAACAAGTGGAAACCGGCCAAATGTGTGTGCTATGGAAACTGACATAGTGTGTACAAATTGTGGACAAAAAATACGGAAACTCAATAAGAACTCTCATATTATGGGAATTGATAACTGATGGGTGATCTCTCAACAGAGGAAGCCCTTGAGATTTTCAGATTAGATATGTCATTAGATACAAGACATTTCAAATGCACAAGAACACTGCTCGTTCCTTCGACAACCAAATGTAGGAACCCGTTTTGCGGAATAGACCCCCCCCCCCCCCCCCTTCCAATTTCATTCCGGGAATTAGAGTTTTCGATAATTCAATTCAACTCCTAGGATTGGGGAACCTGGGCCCATTCCTGGAATGGCTGAATCGTTCCATTCCTCCAATTCCTAAACGTGAAAATTGGCACTTGACAGCTACATTGTGCAATGTTTCCGGCATAAGCAGCATAAAGCTGACATTGTCAAAAACAGACAATTGCAAAAAAAGAAGCTAAACATTTCAAAAAAGCACCGATCTAAGCTCACGGTGCTGGATTGCCTGGGTGACTTGAAGCGTCCGCAGCGGTCCATCGCAAGGTGAAACAAGGTATGCAGACTAAAGTCAAAGGAAATGAGCGGGTATCTGCTAGATAGTTTGTAACCCTAACCCACTTGAAGGAGAAGAGAGAAGTGAATCTCGCTTTGTTTTAATGCCGAACCAAACCCAGCTTTCGCACTTCAAAAGAGTGTGCACGAATGAATGTGGAAGGCAGCAAAGTTGGCCACCTGCTAAACAATGCCCCTCGAACTACAAGAAAACAATGACTGATCATCTTTCTGCGGCGGCGTGCGAGTCAATCAGTTATCAGAGCTCCGCGAGTTAAGAGTCCCCCCCACCCCTAGTCTGTGCGCGCGCATGCATTCTCCATGCCATAAAAAACACATAAAGCAAGATGAGGAGCCGTGCATGGCGGTTTCGTTCTGTGTCACTTCCTTTGTTTCTTTTGCTTGGTGCTTGGTTTCTTGTTTAACTATCGTGGAACACCAGTAAAGCTCGTCGTCTGCGCGTCCGTGAAAGGCGCCACCGCCTCCCTTTTTGGCCTTTGCTCCGACGCTTGTCTTTTGTATTGCTAGCAGTTTCCCGCACATTTCTTTTTCTGAGCAACTGACTCGCTGACTGGCTCAGTTTAGCTGAACGTAACCCCCCCCCCCCCTAAAAAAATAATAAAGAACTGGGCCAATTCCATTCCTGGAAAAATGCATCTAAAGCACGAGACACATGGATGGAAGAATCGTCCAATCCGATAGTCCGAACGCCTCTCCGAACTGCTGCACGCGACAGTTTGAGACACACGCTTCCGAACTTGCATGCGACACAACGATCCGTTCGGCTCCGCCCAGGACATCCAAGCACTCCAGCGGAAGGTCCGCATTCACAGATATATGGTCCCAGATTGACGATTTAGCTCGCACAAGTGAAGTTGGGAGCTCGCTCTCTGCTGGCGCGTGCATTCTTCGCCGGGGCAATCTTCTCCGAATGGGTCAGCGGGATGCACGCGTCCGGCTTCCCGTCACCCGTTCCGTTTTCTTATTCGTCCCGCCAGACCCAGTACATCATCATGGCGTTCGCGCTAGCTGTGCTGTCATTGGCTGGACGCTTCCGACAGTCCGTCCGCCGTGCGAAACTATCTGGCACGTTGGACGCACGCCGCATTGCCGATCCGACGTATGAAGCGACCAAACTTTTCGGATCAGGCAGTCGTATTGCCAGATCGGACGGTTTTTTTGCGAATGTGTCTCGCGCTTAATTCCATTCCCATTCCATTCCTCTCATCGTTACGGCCATTCCCCATTCCCATTCCGGGGTCGCGAAAATGCGGAATGATTCAGGAATCATTCCAACTCCGGAGTGGCAACTCCGCAACACCGGTAGGAACTACTTCGCGCAGTGTACAAATAACAGTATTTTTTTTTTCTTGAGGTGAAATCAAGTATAGGTGATGCACATCCTAAACCACATCATCTTGCCAGCCCAACATGCAGGTAACATTGAATTGGCCAACACACTCACAGCAACAGCACAGGGGGGTTACAAACTCTTGCACTACAAACACAGACGCTCACAACCAAGGGCAAAGAAGGCAAACAGGGTGTCCACCACAGTCGCTGAATTCACTGCCCCAAATCTGTTTAGTTAAATACCTCCACTGATTTATAGGAGCAAAGGTACTAAAGAAGTCCACAATACTGCCCCAAACACACTGCGCAGTGGCCGGCACCAGCCCAGACGAAGTGGGACGGGTCACAGTACGCCCAAAACTGCAGGCTTAAGCACACATACGTCCAAGAGAATCTAGAGAACTCCCCCTCCCCATAGTTTGCTTCACATCAAGCGAAGTCCAGATTTCAAGCATGGTGCACAGACGACACACCGCAGTCAATGACAGAACAGCGGTGTTTTAGTTGTCCCACTTCCAGCACGTGCAGCCAATTTACGGTGGAAGGCAACGATGGCATGCCAGGGGCATCCAAAAGGCATCATCGCAGCTTCTGCTCGCACTGAAGTGAAAGTCGAGTACAGACGTTTGCAATGCAGGCTACGCTGAGTCCCCTCCCCGGGGCTAGACACCCTGTCAAAACAAAGTGGGAGGGAGCGGGTGGGCAGAGGCTTCTCGCGGATGGGCAGACGGGGTGCGAGGGAAGGACACCAGAGAGGACGGCTCGGCCAGAGAGCGCCCACCTAGAAGCGGACTTGCGGTGCTTCCTCTCCCTGGAGCGGCTCCGGGACCGGCGTCTGGATCGGGACCTCGATCGAGTGCGACTCCTCCTGCCCGTGGTAGACACCTCCCACCGGTTAGCAGACGCGTCCGTCGCAAGCGTCCCACCCGCTACCAAAGCCAAGCCAAGCCTCCCCCCCTTGGCAGACCCTCTCCCAAACTCTGAGCAGTCGGGGACAGGTTAAGAACCCAGTCTCCACTTTGTCTCGAGCCGTCTGCCTTCAACGCTCGGTACATGGAGGTAGGAAGAAGGAGGCGACATCGGCTCGAGCCAGCCAAGCGAGAAAATGCCAGCCGGAAGCAGAGGCTGCAAACAGTGGGACGGAAAAAAAAAAAAAAAAAAAAAAGTGTGACGCCGGATTAGAGTGCAGCTCTTGAGGAGGAGGATGTAAGGGTACTGAGGGATAAGTATGACTCCTCGAGGTCACGTGACCTAGCAGTTACACCAACGCCGCTAAAGCCGGCAACGGGCCCCTAAGAGCTGCGCTCTAAAGAGCTCTTTGCACCACATCTGCACCTCTTTCCACCCAAGAGTCTCATCTCCCTCGGTTTCAGCTCTAGTGGCGTCAAGTTGCCCCCAGAAGCTTCCTACCTCCACGGTTCAATCGCACGCGCAGCAAAAGGTCCGCAGAAGGTGCCGAGCACGCTTTGGAGATGGAGCTTCTAATGAATTCTGAGCCTGCCAGACTCTAGTGGCGGGTTTGTGCAGACCCGTACGCCTCCTTTCTAGTCTCGGTGCCGTTATTCCTAATCTTTTGCGGCACAGTGTAATCAAAGAACAAATATGAGTCAAGCAACCTTTTCGCACACTGATGGCAAAAAGAATGCAGAATCTTAGAGGGCAGCCACTTCTGTATGTCAGCAGCAGACAGTGATGTGCCATTGTGCCATACATTCATACATTGACAGCATGAGAACAGCAGGGAGCTCCTCGAGATGTTCCGCTTCCTATCTTTCATAACGCTCGGGCATTTCATGAGATTCGAGCATGGAGGGAGGAAGCTTCTGGAAGCCACATGACGCCACCAGACGAGAAGTTGGGGAACGTGGAGCCCCCTTCCCCACCGAACGCAACCTCTACTTCTAACTGGCTTGAGCCTGTATGTCGTCTCCTTTCTCCTACCTTCGTAGAATCAAGCACGGACGTGCAGCCGGGCACCACGAAAGGCGGACACGCCAGGCATCCTGAACAAACGTCTTTCTATTACTGTCAGGGACTGCTGCTAGCGATTATCCGAGGCTGCCATATTGTGGGCACATACCCCGAGCATGCACTGCAACGAGTGCTGCTCAGTCTTCCAGGCATACTTGGGTCAAAATGCCTTCGACACAAGTGCCGCGTCACTGCTCGCACCCAAAGACCCGTTCCGAAATTGTGAAATGATGCGCAGCCGCCATTCATTGGTCTCACTGCTTCTGACATGAAGCCCATGATTGGTTCCTACCGAGTTCGCGGCGAGCACCGACGCATCACTCGAGTGGAATATGTTTGAATTTGCAAACCGACAGAGCGTGTTCAAATTGCGCTAAAAAACTGCGGGAACTCAATAACAACTCTCATGTGATAGGTAATACGAGTGCAGAGTGTGGACAAAAATGCAGCGACCCGCTCCGAGCCTGCTTCTCATATAAAACGGTATTTAGCCAGAACCCTTTCTGAAATGATGCAGAGATTCTGCGCAGCCGCCATTCATTGCTCTCACCACTTCCGGCGTGAGGCTCGTCATTAATCGAGTTTGTGACAAGCACCGACGCATCAATCACTCGTGCAGAATGTGTATTGGTCCGAATGCTGACAAAGCGCTCGTGTCCAATGAGTGCTCCCAGTGCATGACCAACTAATGGCACCCGCACCTCACCTATGCATCATTTCGAAAAGGGCCTAATGCACGCCAGATGCAGGAAGTGATGTCCAATATATTTGAGCCGGAGTGTCGCTCGGAGTATGTTCTGTACGACTAAGAACAAACGTTGTCGACGAACGGCGCTGAACTAAATGGTGTGAAACTTGCTTTCCGGAGGTGCAATGGAGGACAGCAAAGCTCGGGCTGCCGGCGAGTGGGCTAGGTGGGTTCATATTTTGGAAGTGGTATTCTCCCAACAATCAACACAATAACCCGAAAAAAAAAAAAAAAAAAAAAGGCGGCAGTTGTCCCTTATTGGGTCTCGTATAAAACGAATTGTGAACACGGCTATTTGAAGCTGTAGAGTAGCTTAACGGTAAGGTGCATGTCTCATACACAGCAGGACCATGGTTAAATACACAATGTGGGTTTCCTTTTTTTTTTTTCTCGTCGACACATTCTTGTCAACAACAATCAACAGTAGAGAGAAAGAAAAAAAAAAAAAAAAAAAACGAATGTTGCAGACGAAACTTTGCTGAACTCTATGGCGTGGACTCTTATTTCCGGGGGTGTATGAAGGACAGCGGGGTTTGGGCCACCGAGAAGCGGCGTGTAGATGTCGGCCAATTGGGTTAATATTTGTCTTAATAACAACCCCAGACTGTCGCCGCGAAGTGGCATGAACGCAGGCGGTGGTGTGGGGCGGCTTAACACGCTTCCCAATGATACACGCGCCATGCAAAACCGCCGGCAAAATAGCCTCAAAATAGCATCTTAATGAGCTATTCTCAGGCTGTCGCCGCGAATCGGTGTAAAGGGGGGGGGGGGGGGGGGGGGGGGGGGTTAACGCGCGCTTAAAGGGTAACTGCAAAGAAAAAAAAGATTTTTTCTAAATAGCCTAATTGGGACAAGCATGTCAAAAAAACAATTTTTCCGCGAGAAAAAACATTTTTTACAGCAATATTTATTGCGTGAGACTCATTTTAGTTTGCGGCTATTTCGTCCGTTTTAAATCGCGCGCCACGAAGTTGTGATTATGTGACGTCAATCCCAAAAGGTTCTCATTGGCTAAGAGTTTGATTGACCGCTTAGATCTTGGTTGTTAAACCTTTGTTATATGTTGCAATTTCCTTTTGAGCCGCATATTTTTACGTTTAAAGAATAACCCATGTGATGAGAGTTATTCTTCACAAAAGGGTTACAAGACGGGCACTTCCGTTTGGATTCATACAAACAAAAGCTTCGCCATTCTTTCATGGCCGCCGAAGTCTCTGCTCCCGCCTGTCTCGCCTAATCGTTTCGCCGAAGTGATCAGTGTTTCGTCGTTTCGTGCTGACCCAGGTGCTTGAGTGAGACTTCTTGAAGTGAAGTAGTGTGTGTTTAGCAGCTGTCGCAGGTGTTAGTGATAGGAAGTGACGCGGGGTTTTGGCTTTCATAGCGCGGTTCTTTCGTTTTCCTCTTTGCTTGCATAGCGTGTTTTTTTTTTTTTTTTTTTGCTCGTTTGCACGTGCAAGTGCTGACTTTTCGGAGATGTCAGATGCGTGATCCCGACAGTGAGCCTTCCAGCAGCCATGTCGCCCCGAAAGGAATGCTATTTGGCTGGAGGCAATCGGGCGTTCGCGTAGCAACCAACGTGCCTAGTTACGTTCTCGTCATATCGCTCTGGAGGCCGTCGAGATTCGCCCCGTGTGCATCTAACGACCGCGACTCGACAGAAAATAAAAAAGCACTATGTCCACTACGTAAAAATGGTCTCAGTTCATGCATCTGTAGGCAGGTACGAAATCGTGCCCAAATTTATTCACACCGCACGATGCAACAAGTCGCAGTGCAAACGCAGTCCAACACGAAGCATAAAAACGGCAGAGTTAGGACAACAATTCGGAGTCCATTGTTCAATTAAAACGACGTAATTTTGTTGAAAACGCCCGCAGCTTTTTACTCACAGTATGTGTCGGGAAACTTCCACATTTTGAAACAGAACGAGGCAGATTTACTTTTAAAAACGCTCCCAGCGTCCTCCCGGACCAGTTTGACTGGATCAGCTGACGACGACGGGACTTAACTGGTTGAACGTCAACCCCACAACAACCAATTTGCGCTCCGTGTTAGCACCGCATTACACACACCACGAACGTTTCAGCTCTGTCGCATCGCCGTGTTGCACCAAACAGAACGAGATCGCCGAAAATAACGCAGCGCTGTCGTGAACCTTGGCTTGTGGTTGCGCACTTGTGGATTCTGTGACTCCCTTCGCTTTCTTTCAAAGTGCGCACGACGATTACGAACGATACTTTCCGTCTTCCGGGAACATCACAGGGGCACTTCTCCGGTCACGTCTTCGCTACATGTGCTCGCAAACCGCGTCAAACCAAAACAATACTAACAACACGACCAACATTGGATTGGATTTCGGGCTAACCCCTTTGTATCGGGGGATCTCAGCAGCGCTGGATCTAGCCTGGCTAGCAGCTACAATACCGCGGCCTGGCGTAGTTGCCAGATCTTGCCGGAAGTCGAGACGCTGCGTCGTTCAACTCCGCAACGCAAGGAGAGTGAGGGGCGGGGCGTACTCCTCTTCCGCGGGGGTCGAAAGAGCGGGAGTTTCAAATGTGGAGAGGTTTTGACGCTACTAAATTACGTCCTGTGGCGTAAATATTGATAAAAAAAATCATTTTTTTCGCGGAACATTTGTTTTGTGACATGCTTGTCCCAATTAGGCTGTTTAAAAAAAAAACTTTTTTCTTTGCAGTTACCCTTTAACTACAGCCCCCAGTGAACACCCGCCGTCCCCCACTGCGCCTTCGAAAAGGGCCACCCAAATGGCAGGAGCCCTTCTCATCGAGCATATAGCATCACTACTAAAAGAAATAAACGTTTCTGCGGCGCCCCGGTTGTCCTGAACCAATATAAATATTATTATTATTCATATAAACACTAAAAAGGCACTTGGCTTCGAAGTAGACCAGTTTTGCCTTCGGCGCTCGCAGCGCGCCTGATACGGCAGCGGCGAACAACGGTACCATGGCGTTAGAAATAATGCGTCACACAAAATCCATTGTTCTGGCCCGAACCCCCCCCCCAAAAAAAATTACCATCCGAGATGGAAAGGCGGTAGTAGATCGGCCGTGAACTCACCGTGATCGCCTTCTGCTCCTCGACCGCGATCTGGAGCGAGACCGGCGACTGGACGATCCGCCGCCGCTGTAGCGGCTTCCCCGGGACGACTGGCGGTAGGGGTCGGTAGGCCTACCGTAGCGCGCCATTTGCACGCGGAGCTCGCGGCCGTCCAAGATGTAGCCGTCCAGGGCGTCCATGGCGTCTTCGCCGTCCCGCTTGTCGTAGAATCGCACGAAAGCGAAGCCTCGGCTGTCCCTCGTGTAGGGGTGACGCGGAATGTAGACGTCGCCAACATCTCCGTACTTCTCGAAGACGCGTTTCAGGTCCTCCGGCGTGGTGCGGTACGTTAGGTTATCTACCTTCAGGGAGGTCATCCCATCGATGGTAGGCGGGCCGCGGCCGTAACTCATCTTGGCGAAAGCGGGAGGCGACGACCGGCCTCGTCAACGTCTCGATCCGTCCTCTGGAGCGCGCTCGAACGACGACGCTGCTTCTCACGAACAATGAACGCAACTCGCACGTTGAAATGGCGGCTGCGTACTCTCGATCACGGTGCTCTCGATACTCTCCAACGAAGCGATTCTAAGCTGCGCTATCACGTGACTCAGTTTAATACTTTATTATAGGTATTGTATATTTAATGTAACTGCTGTAACCATAGATACATTATTAATTGATAAATATAAATACCACTGATCTCTATGGTTTGCTGGGCGCTGGGCTGTGCTTCAAAAAAGTCACGTGATGCCCTCCCTCTGGTTTTCTTTCTTTCTGCTGCCCGTTTGTTTTCCCGCCTCGGCAGCAGTAGAAGAAACCAACTTGCAACTTGCAAGCGAACGGCCTGTTCTAAAGGTGACCACAACTTCATAAGTTAACTTATCCCATTTTTACGAGATGATAGAAAGATGTGTCCATCCTCCAGTCCATGCATGTTTCGTGCGTGCACAGTTGGGACGGTACATCGTAAAACACAAACACCGTCGGCTACCGGACGTAAAGTACACAACTTTCTGTCCAGTCTCTATTTTATTAGGCGACAACTCAAGATTTGTCGAACAAAGGGCGGTCAAAAAAAAAAAAAAAAATATATATATTTTTTTAAATTTCGGGTTAGCAAAACTGAGCTTTCGCGAAATCATCGGCCTGTTCACGCGTAAAGTTTGACGCTCGAAACCTGTGACGTATTTTTGACTCGCGAGAATTTCGCCAAACCTTGTCATCTGCACCGGGAATTACGAGCGTTTCGCATTAAAATGAAACGAAGTACGCATAGGGAAGAGACAGTCTGCTTTATGAATACCAATCGTCAGATTCGGCTCACTGGGTTTCCTAGGCCTTGATGAAAAACGGCGCGAAACACAAGGACACATAGGAGAGAATTACAGACAGGACAAGGCGCTGGCTATCAACTTTCTTATTTTGAAGAAAGACGAAAATAAGAAAGTTGATGAAGTCTTTCTTCGAAATAAGAAAGTTGATAGCCAGCGCCTTGTCCTGTCTGTAATTCTCTCCTATGTGTCCTTGTGTTTCGCGCCGTTTTTCATTATGAACGTCCCGGATGTTTGTGAGAAATCTGAGCCCGGCTTTTCGCACCGCAGAAATAAACAAGACATCGCGGGGAGCTCGAACTCCGTCAGAACGTAGCCTCAGCCGTTCGAGTAAGATGCCAAAGTTTCAGCACCAACCGTTGTCTTATTAAAAAATTGGAAATGGTTTTTTTTTTTTTTTTTTTTTTTTTAATGCGAAAATGGGACCCATTTTCGCCAGTTTTCGGTTTCTGGCGCCATAGAGTTCCATGTGCTCTATGGGCGCATGTCTGTTGTTTTTTGTGCCTTACACCATGATTTCCAGTTCCATGTATTCGAGAGCTCCGTCGGCTGCCTTTTTTTTCATTGAAAGTTTCTGAAAATCGCTTATAACTTTTGAATAAAGGCCCGTACACACTCTTGCAACCGAGTACGACCGAGAGAGACGAGACCGGTTTTTAAGCCTTTTGCGACTTCTTAGGACCAGATGCGATGCAGCGGAGCTGGTTCTAAGAGATCGCAAGATGCTTAAAAACCGGTCTGGTCTCTCTGGGTCTTACTCAGTCGCAAGAGTGTGAACGGGCCTTAAGATAACGGTTGGTGGTGAAACTTTTGGCATAGTTGGTCTAGTTCATTTTTGCGGTGCGAAAAGTCAGGTTCGGGTTTCTCACAAACAACCGGTTATACCAACTAGCCCAAGGGAGGCACTCACTTGATCTAATGACCTGTTAGCGAACACCACCGAATGACACTCGTTGAATAGTCGGTCGCCGCGAAGTGGCATTTACAGGTGGGCCAAGTGGGTTAACATTTTTGTAATGAGCTGCCGCGAAGCAGCGTAAGTGCAGCACAGGGGGTGGGTTAACCCGCGTCCCAGTTGTTTGCTAAAATGCCATTCGCTCGTGATATGGACCCTTAGCCCGACTGTCCATTTTAGGAAGCTTTACTAGGCTTGCCAAACCCGGTAAAGACCGCAAACGTCAAAGAACAGGCGAATGTTCTCGAAGCATTTCGGACATTTTTGCACCGCTAAAAGAAAGTTCCTCCGGTCATCACATTTATATGCGGTGCTTGCACTCGTCGCGACTGTTCATGAATCTGCACCGCGCCGCCAAACCTGCCCGTACTGACTGCTTCTCCGCCTGTTAATCGCCGCCATCTTTGCTTTTCTCTTTTTGACTTGGGCGTTGGGTTTCTATTATTGGCGAGGAGATTGAACTATGGGGGTGCTCTGACCAATTTGTTGCTAAAGCCCCTTCATGTTTCAAAAGTAGGACAAGGTCTGTCGATGCTTGAGGAACGTGCAGCCCTTGGGAAGATCATGACGGCACTGCGCAGAACTGAGCTAGATTTAAGACGCCATTTTCTTCCAAGAAAACGGGCAGGGGGGGCCCGTGTCTCAAGCATTTCCACAACAATAAATGGTGCCACTTTTCCCAAGATAGGGGGGCTTTATTGGTTGTCCCCATAACTCTGTGTTTACCCAACTCAAGGCCCGTGAACATGCCTACGGTCCTTGTGGGCATGTTTATGTTTTAACGCAAAAATACGAAGCAAACGAAGTAACGTTTATTGTTTGTGCCAGATCTCTCCCGAAAGCAATCGTCGGAGAATGCGAGCTTGACCTACTTCAGCTTTTGTGCTGAGCCGGGCATATGCACCGTGCATGCTGCATTGTTCATTCAGGCTGGAGTGGTAGCAGAAGAGCCCCTCCTCCGCCTCGCCGGAGAACAGAAACTCCAGCCGAACGCTGACACGCCGATCGGCTAATACCGCTGTTACACGGGCACATTTAACTGCAGTTACGCTAAACCACAATTAGCGCACAATACTTGCCGACAACATTCTGCGGCGATGCAGTCAGAGCTATGGACGAACGTGCGCTTGAGCATCTTGAGCACCCATCAAAGCAGTGCACGCGCTCTCTTCACTTCTTTTGAAATAGCTGTCCGAGGGTATAGTGCGGCATCTGTGCTGCCACGTAACCGCAGTTAAAGCTGAGTTAACCGCGGTTAAGTGTGCCCGTGTAACAGCAGTATAAGTCGGCCGAGCGCTGAATCATTGTTATTTTGTTGTCCCGATCCCTGTAGTCCTAAAGATAGCCGCTTGGGGCGCCACGGTCTGATGTCATCCCCAGTGCTCTGTTTCACCATAACTTGGCAAACTGTGGAGGCTGTGGCCCCCACGACCCAATGAGGGCCCCGGAGCAAGGCACATTATTACTCCGTGGTCGAGGCCACCGGGGCCTTGTTACCGCCTCAGCAAGAGAGCCCTCCGAGGCAACAAGTAGTTCTAGGCTTCTTTTTCTTTTAACGGCAATTGAACCCATGCGATTCCATCTATAACGAGAAGATACAAAGAATAAATAATCACAAATTTCAGAGTTTCAATTATATTTACACCAAAAAAGTGATGCCCCATCCGTATTTGCTAGATTTTTTTCGCCTCGTGGCGCCGTGGCCCTTGACGATCGCAGCCCTGTAACCGGCCGTTTCCGCCTAAAGCATTGCACTGTGCCCTGACATAAGCACCCGTCGCAGATTTGCGTCTAAATGGATCGTATGGTTCTATTCTAGCCGCTCGCATTTCGCGCGGTGACACAAATTCTCCCGTGGCGTTGGGTCACAAATACAATCGCTATGACCGATTGTCATTGTATCTGGTCGTTATAAGCGGTACATCGTTATGTGCAGTATAGGTGGATCGCACTGCAGTGTTGCAGCTTGACGATTTCAGCTGAGACTGCATGTATGGTAAAGTGTAGTTGATTTTTTCAGCGAAAAATGTATATTTCAACCCTTTGTATAAATTGAGTAGGCACAGAGTGTGCAGCATGTTTTGAACCGTGCTCGGTGTTCCTGAGCTCGGAGGTCGCACTAAATTCCTCTAAAATTAGCCGGAAGCATTTCCCTGCTAAAAATCAGAAAACCTGGTGCATAAGTATTCACCAAATCAATTTCGTCTTTAAATTTAGGGGGAACGATCTAAGTTTGTGTATAAATACACACCAAGTCGAATTGTTGTACACATGTATACCCCTTGAATTTCCCCGCTAAACTTGGCGTCGGGTAATACATTTGCGTTGCGCTTCCACGCTACAAACTTTGCATTACACAGTGATGGAAGTGCTGCGCCAATTCGCGCCATGGGGGAACGTCCGCCACATCTTGCGCCAAAGTGCAATTTTTGATAAGAATTGCGCCACACGTGCGCCGAAATGGGCTTAAAAAAAGTTGACTAATTTATTATTGGTCAACCCTAATATTTGGAAAAGTAGAAGCAAAGAAAAATTGTACAGATATGAGTTTCACAGCGTCTCTACTCATTATATAGTTTGTTTCGTCTTGGGTCAGAGCACATTCGAAGGCTCGAGCACTAACAACCACAAACACTAAAAGCTCGAGTCACGCAACATTCTCAGCACTTGATTGGTGTAGCCGATGAAAGAACACATTTGAGGAAATGAAGAATGCCAGAATGTCCTGCTTTGATGCTGCAAATCAACTGGCCAGGGCAGTTGGTGCTAGGCATCAACAGCTCTGGCCGGTTGATGCAATGGCTGGTTAATCTCCGACATCGTCTAAAGTTCCGCATGATGTCGTCGATCCCGAGAAAACTTTGCAAAGTAGTGAGATTGCCGATTGCGGCTACTGTGATAAGACAGAACTAGGGTCTTGGGTACTCCTCGTAAGATGACTCGATTATTGTGCCTGCCACGTGCCTTTGTCTCGTGACTGCAGAATACCGTAGCACTCCGGTGCAAAGCTTCACAGCTTTGCACCAGAGTGCTAAAAGCAGCGGCTGACCTGGGGGAGCGCCTGACTTAGTTTGATAGTCGCACAGATAATACTGAGGATTATTACAGGTCGACCTTCTTTGACCTAATTGTAAATTAATCTGTAATAAAAAAAGAAAGAAACTGAGCCGAGAGACGTAACTCTGAGTCCTTCGCCGCTAGTGTCACCTTTAATGGCCGATTCACACGACAGACTGATCCGCAACCGAGTTGATCACGTGGCGACGTGTCCGCGGTTCGTTTGTCTCCCAAGCACACCCACACGAGGGAGACAGCAAGCAGACGCCAGTGAGGACAAACCGAACCTGTTCGCCACCCCTCAGTGCCACGAAACTCTAACATTGCACTGTGGCACCGTTGCCCAAGAGAGAAATCGCTGTTTGCTACCGCAATAGAGAATTGTACGCTGCTGTTACATACAGATTGAGACACAACACCATGATGGGCTTCGCGCGAAACGCCATTAGCTTTACTAACCCAAGGCATGACTGCGACACACGCATATTCAATCTCGAGAATTGTTCGGCGTGCAAGCGACGAAGTTCTGGGCTCGCGGAGGGCGTTTGGAGATGCCTTCACTCACTCCGCGCTCGTGCACTACACTCAGGCACACCACAGCCAAAAGAAACGTCTCGCTCGGTAAAAGGCTGACTAGATCGGCGAGAATTTTCGCGGCATGATAGACAAGTTTTGACGGAAGCTCCTTGACACGGACCTGGAGGAGTAGCGCAGCCTGCGTCGCGTCAGCTGTACAAAGGTTCTGCAGTTTCTTTCACGCGTGAAACCAAGAATCGCGCACCAAAATTAACCAGCGAACGCACAAAACACAACAGTGCGCCATTTTTGTTTTAATCGTCCGAAAAAGAAAAAAAGAGCAAGAAAACACTATTTTTGCCAGACAAGCTTTTCAATTCAATCTCCTGCCGAAAATCCACGAGTGAAAAGGTGCTAAACTTTATCAGCCTGCATACGAGGCGCGGATCGCGGGAATCGGTGACGCGACAATCATTTGGTACACGGTCCGCAGACGAAAATCGCGGTTTGGTTCATCGCGTGAATAGGTTACAAAAAACAAGTGTAGGATTTTATAATTTTTTTTTGTGCTTGATTTTGCAGCGTATGATATTAGAGTTTTGAGTTTGATAGGTTCATTGAACTTTCGGGAAACATTTTTATTGGTAGATGTGTTAGCAGATATACTGGTTTTTGCTGGCATTTCACAAATTATATTTAGAAGCTAAACAAACTACCGACTGTAAAATGCAAGGTGAGAGAGGATTTATCGCAATGAAGTATTGCGCAATGCTGCACTTTTCAATAATTTTTTAATGCCCATAGTAAATTAAACCTACTCCAACTAGTCTTATTTATGAAGACTGTGTTCCTTTTACGCCCTCTCTATTCTTATCAATAACAAGTAATATGCTCGAGTATCAAAGTGGAACCCTTGATCACTATCACGAATGAACTCGTTTAGAGATGCAATCACTTTTTCATTCTTAAGTGATGTGCTAGCAGATGTTGGCATCTGCTCCAAAAGCGTCAGTGGGTGCTCCAAAACAATATTTTGCCTGCTGCAGAAGCTGCTATAAAATTTCAAATGTGGCTTCCATCGCTGATTACACTCATTTTGGGGACACTTTTTTTATTAAGCATACCTCAGCGTACAGAGATTCGGAACCACTTCCCTAAGCTGGTGTCTCCGAGGCGAAGCGGCGAAGCGCCAGCCTATGGTGGCGGGTTCGATTCCGTGCCGGGGTTCCCGCAATCTGACGGAGGTGCAGCGCAAAGGTTCTGCAGTCGCAGCATTTTCTGGAAGTGGAGGTTTTCCTCCGGTTTGCTTTGGCACATTTTTCTTGCCACTTCTCCGCTTGCATCCTTGGACGTCTGCCACTGACACGCTCTGCTGGCCCCCACTATCGGTCCCCGATTTCCCGAAAACAAAAAGGGAGGAAGCCAACCGTGCAGTTTGCATGGTTGATGCCCTCGCTAAAAACAAACATGTGTACCAAAACCTTCATTTTTTTTGAGCAGCACTTTTTTCCTGCACGGCATCTGCTGTGTTTTGCATAAACAGCCCTTAAAGGGCAACTCCGCTTAATTTCAAAAATTTTGAGATAGTGGCCGATTTTGCTTTTTGAAGCACTCAAAAACAATCCCCAATCCTTTGTTTCGCGAAAAATAAAATATTTTTCGTGTAATTTTACTCTAGCCATGATCACAAACCGAAACCGAAACGGTGGCAAAGCCGGACAACATTGTGTATTCGGCATCACTAAGCATGTACACCCACGATAAGAGGGGAAGAAGCAGCTCCCCTCTTATCAGGATCCTCCTTTGTGCCTCCTGGATTAGCACAGGCGTCGCTATTCTCCTCCCAGAAGATTATAGAAGATTAACCTGTCACTCAAAATTCTTACAAAAGCAGCTTCCCTCTCCTCCTTTTACTTGGTGTTCAAAAGTATGCGATGTAACACAAGCCGCGCTCAACGAGGCGATCGGCTTATCAGTAGTATCAATAGTCTAGCGCCGGGCTGGCCGAGCGCGTCACTCACGTCTTTCACGGCGCTGGCGCCACCCGTGCTCTCCCCGGGAAAGAAAACAAAATTAAAAAAAAAAAAAGAAGCTGTACATGTTTGATGACGTCGCGGACGTGCCGGGAGAAGGAATTTGGAGGAAGCGGAAATGCAGCCGGGCAGTGTTGTCTGGCCCGCACGTCTCAACCAAAACCAGCGGATTCGTGCTTGTCAAACTTTGACAGCGATTTTAATGAACTTCTAGGCGGAATTTCGTCGTAATATTTGCCATGGGGGTTTGGTAGATGATAACAAAGAGAACTGTATAGTTTTGCACTACTGGAAAAGAAGCGGAGTTGCCCTTTAAAGGGATGCTGAACCAAAATTTAGATTTCGCAAAATAGGGCCGCAGGAGCACCGAGTGGGATGCTACAAACTTCAAAACATCACTCTTACATTGATATCTCAAACGGATGGCCATACTTTTGGAAAAGAGCTATGTGATCAGGGGGGGACTGTGACGTCACAATCCTGCTGGAACAGTTGAGAATGAAGGGAAGTGGCCTCGCTTCAGTTCATCAGCTTGAGGGGATGAAGCAGAGAGGACAAAGAATGAGAATTGTGACGTCACTTGTGTCGTTGGCCTCGTCAACCGTGTTCAGTCGCGCACTCTTTTTCCACAAATACCTTCATCCGTTAGAAATATTGTTGTACGAGTGATGCTTTTGGGTTGGGCCACCATACCCTCCTTCTCCTCCTAGAAACGTCACCGGCTGTCACATTTGTACATATCTATATTTCTTTCTCAAATTCTTTAGTACGATATATCCCAAAATCAAAATACCTCAAGAGCTGCACTCGTAATTTTGCATTACAGAAATTTGTAAACGGCGTTAATTTTATAGCGCAGCTCTTAGTGTCTGTTTCCGGCTTGAACGTTGTCGCGGTCGGTGTAACCGTGCGTTGCATTATACAACGTTTCCCATTGTGACGTCTCGTGGGATATCAGAAGGTCCAAATGTGCCCGCTAAGTTTGTCAGGAAATTTTTCCGCTATATCTAGCGGGAGAATGGTTCCGCTAAATTTATCGGAAAAATTTTACCCTTGTGACGTCACGTGACCCTCCCCTCTTCAAGAGCTGCGCTCTAATTCGCCGTTACTGAGAATTGTAAAGGTCTTTCATTTTTTCCCCCTCAGACTGGCACGATCGGAGACCTGGAGCCAGCGCCATGTGTCCGGGTGTGCAGGAGTCCCTCCAGTACTTTGCCATTGCGGCCATGTGCCACAACCGGGGCATCGGCGTCCTCAACACGCTGCCCTGGCGGCTCAAGAAGGAGATGGCGTACTTCTCGCGCATCACCAGCCAGGCGGCCGAGGGCAAGAGCAACGCGGTCGTGATGGGGCGCAATACCTGGGACTCCATCCCACCCAAATACAAGCCCCTGCCTGGAAGGTGAGGGACTTGCCAGAGTCACCCGATTTTGGAAATGGGGCCATGTGCTCGAGCCTTCCTGGTTAGTGAACACTATCGTAAAATACGGCGGAAGCGCCCACTTTGTTCAAGCACCCACTATTAATGTGTTCCAAACTTTGGAATGCTGCAAAATATATGTTCAGCGTCCGATTTGACTGGACAAGTATCCATGACTAGATTATTTCATTTCATTTATTGAACCTTAAAGGGAAGATGGGGCACTTCTACATTTGAGAAAAAACGCTTGAATTGCATTCATTTGGCCTTTAGATTAACAGATATCAAAATTGTATTTCAATGCGACGCGCCGGAGAGCCATACGAGCAATTTCGAAATAGGACTGAAGCCCCGCCTCCCTAGCCTTGGGCAGCCAAAAGAGCCGTCGATGACGTCACGGACAGCGACTGTCTTTCGCGTTTTTCTCGCGTTTAACAATACTTACGCAGCAAATGGTTTGGGTATTCGGGTTCACGGGGTAAAAATACACTAGAATTCACTTCTAACTCATTTTTTCCAAGAAGCTCCGTAGCTTCCCTTTAAGGGCCCGTGAGGGCATTACATAAGGGGGGGATCATTCATATTATACATTGGAAAAAACGGACACAAAAAAAATACATTCTGGAAAAGGTTGGTAAACAGTTAACAACATAAAAAGTGCGATTGAAGACTTGATTTAAAGGCGTTTGGTTCTACGATGGTGACGATGGAGGATGGGAGGCTGTTCCAGTCATTGATAGCTTGTGGGAGGAAAGATCGGTTGAAAGCGTTTGTTGAGCCAGAGATCCTTCTGATGGTACAGGCATTGCTTAGGCGAGATGATGTTCGATCGGGAGGTGATAATAATGCTGTTTTAAGTTCAAGACAGTCATAATAAATTTTGTGAAGGAGGCAGAGCTGAGAGATGTTCCTACGAAGCTGCAAAGAAGAAAGGTTGAGTTGACTTTTTAGTGAAGAGACACTGATGGAGTTATCGTACGTGGAGAGGATGAAACGAGTGACCCTGTTTTGAATTGCTTCCAGATGATTGATAAGGTAGCCTTGATGGGGGTTCCAGATGGAGGCAGCATATTCTAATTTAGGTCGGATAAGTGTGTCGTAGGCCAGTTTGCGGACAGTTGGTGGAGCAGGTCGAAGGTTACGTCGGAGTACTCCCAGGGTCCTGGAGGTGTCTGCGGAGATGGCTTCAATGTGATTATTCCATGAAAGGTCTGATGTTAATTTTACACCAAGATATTTGTACGAAGGAACGGTCTCAATTAAATCGGAGCCCAAGTAATAGTGGTAGGACAAAACAGTTTTTTTTTTCTAGTGAAACTGATTAGTTTACATTTAGATTTGTTTAATGGCATCAGCCACTGTTCACACCATCTATTAATTTTTACTAAACCATCTTGAAGTTGAATGTTATCATGTTCACTTGTTACTTTGTTATATACGACACAGTCATCTGCAAACAGGCGAATATTAGACAAAATGGTGGCCGGAAGGTCATTTATGAATATTAAAAAAAGTAGGGGACCCAGTACGGACCCTTGGGGAACACCAGATGAAACGTTTGTTAGGGCAGACTCATGGTAATTAGTAACGGTGTATTGCACGCGGTGAGAAAGAGTCACGTATCCATGAGAAGATTAGCGGGTCAAGACGTAGGGATGCCAGTTTGGATAGTAGTCGTTGATGGGGAACATGATCAAAAGCTTTCGAAAAATCCAGAAAGATGGCGTCAGTCTGAGCCCGACACTCGAGATTAGTATGTAGGTCATGAATGAAGTCTCAAAGCTGCGTCTCACAGGAGAGTCCCTTTCTAAATCCATGCTGCTTTTTGGAAAAAAATCTATTAGTTGTTAGGTGACTCATAATTTGCGAATATAGTATATGCTCAACAAGTTTAGATGCGATTGAAGTTAAAGATGTTGGACGATAGTTTGAAACCAAACAGCGACTTCCCAGCTTGAAAACTGGGACGATCCTGCCAACCTTCCAGTCAGAAGGGAGGGAGCTTTCAGATAGTGACTGGTCAAATATTAATTTTAAGAACTCACTCGAGATACTGGTAGTATTTTTTAGAATTTTTGAATTGATGTTGTCGGTACCGGCGGATGATGAGAGTTTTAATTTGGCAATGAGGTCTCGAATACCGGCTGCGCTTACACTGATTGGAGGCATGGTTTCGTAAGGTTGCTCGGGGAGGCTGGGAACAGTGTTCAAACACTCGTTAGTAAAAATGGAAGAAAAATATTCGTTAAACACTGTAGGAATGTCTCTCTCTGGAATGGGATCGCCGTTGTCGGTACGTAGCTGGATGGCAGAGTTGTTGTTCTTTGGTGAAACCATATTCCAAAACTTTCTCGGGTTACTCCTCAAAATGGACAGTAAGTCATTAAAAAAGAATTTATTCTTGGCTTGTTTTATGCTCCTGGTGTAGTTTTTTAATGCAGAATTGTAGACATCCCAAGACTGGCTGGTATCTAACCGTTTGGCCTTTACAAAAAGTCTTTTTTTCTTGTTTCGCAAAAAGAGCAAGGTTTTTGTAAACCATGGATTACCTAAATCGGTGCGTACACGAACTGTAGGAACAAACATTTTTACTAGATGATTCATTTTAGTTTTAAATAATGTCCAGTTTTCTTCTACAGATCTAAGATGAAAATGAACGACGTAATTGTCAAAGAAGATTGCCAACTCGCTGTTTATCGAGATATAATCAGCTCTGTTATAATCGTGAATAGTTTTGGAAATGGGATGCTTGGTGAGAGTGGGGAGTGACAAATCAACATGCAGCAGCCTGTGATCACTGAGCCCGTCACAGTACTGGATACACTTGACAAGATCCAGTGACGTAGTTAGTATTAAATCGAGAATATTTCCCAAACGAGTTGGTTTATCAACAAGCTGTGTAAGGTTCAGAGTAAGACACATGTCTAGAAAATGTGCGGATGTGGCCGAGCCTACGGATGAAAGGTTTGACCAATCGATTTGAGGAAAATTAAAATCACCAAATAACAACATATCAGCCTTTGGAAACCGATCTCGTATATCAAGTAAGACAGAGCATAGATCAGTATGAAATGATGAAGCACAATTTGGTGGCCTATAACATACGCCCACAATGACCTTATTTGATGGCGTACAAACACATATGCAAGTAAATTCCAAGTCATGGTTCGCTAAACAGATATCAAAAGAAGATATAAAACTCTTTATTGCGATAAGCACACCGCCACCCCTCTGGCCATGCCGGTCGTGGCGGAAGATTTTGTAATCTAGGTTTCGCGGAAAAAGCTCCTTATCTTCGATTTCAGGGTTTAACCAAGTTTCTGTCAAAATGACTAAATCTGATGAGCTGTCCTCCAGTACACTGTGAAACTCGTTGCGTTTTGGCATGAAGCTGCGAATATTAGTGAAAAGAACAGAAAGGCTTTTCTTTTTATCGCGCAAGGCGGCACAAGGGGATGACGGTAACGCTTTATTTTTGCCAGAAGCATGTAGCTATGAAAATTCAACAACTGTTTGAGATTCCGAGTTAAAAATAAAACGCTTGTCCGCATGCAGTTTGTTAAAACGCACTTTAAACGGTACGTTCATACTCCTACCATACTCAAAAAGTTTGGCACGGGCAACTCGCACAGACGCAGAAAAATCTTTGCGTACAGCGTAATGGGTGCCTTTCAGTTTGAACCCACAAGCCAGGATGCTCTCTTTGTCTTTAAATCGGGCAAACTTAACTATTATTGGCCTAGCTTTCTGGGGCTCGAATTTCCCTAGGCGGTGTAATCTTTCTAAATTTGCGGCATCAAGCTGGATTCCCAGCTTGCTCGAACAAAACTCAATAAATTTTTGTTTCGACTGCCCCCATGTTTCGGTGCTGTTATCTGGGCAGCCAAAGAACAACAGATTTGACCTCTGAAGCCAACTTCGTTGTCATCGCACTGCTTCCGAATATTCGCTAGGTCAACAGGAAGATTTTCATCATGGGGGGTTAGAGATGCAGAGTTCCTATCAGCCAACTTCGTTTCTACAGCACTCATCCTTGAAAACAATTGTTGGACAGATATCTCGGTAGCCTTTTGTCCGCTCTCCAGTGACGAGATTGTTGCCAGCAAAGTTGTCTGAGCAGCCTCGATTCTCTGGACAGCTGCAAGAATACTCGTGATTTGCTCACTATCGGTTAGTGGTCCCGGGTTTGCCTCCACGTCTCCGGACATTAACAAAAGGAGCCGAGAAACATAAAAAATGTATGAGTACTGCAAACAGTAAAAACACAGCCACTTTCGCCAGAAAAGGTCGTTGGGGCACGACATCGCAATAAAATTCGGATTTCTACTTCAAGAACAAACTGCATTCGGAAGGTAACCAACCTGAAGAAGGGAGAGGTTTTGCATCGCTGTTTGTCTGGCGACGCCGTGCCCCAACTGGCCATCCATAGCGGTCGGCTTATGTAGCCACCCGTCCGGGTAGGAACCATGTGATGTTACAGTGCTTGATTGTTGCCAGGTGCTGATGTTGAACGCCTCCTGGTGGATCCAAGTTGGTGGCGGAAACGCTCGAGGAAATGCCGTGACACTCTCGATGACAACAGATGACGTGTCCCAAGCCAGAAGATGACGATGCAGCAGATTTCCTGGCGGGATCGCAGAAAGGGCCGCAGTCAGTTAAATTAGTTTTCAGTGAAAGTGGAGTGGGCCGGTATTTTCCAGTGAACAAATTTTGCTCAAATCTGAGGAAAAATGCCTCTTCACCTCAAGCAACCCAAAATGCATAAAACTAGCCATCAATTACTTCCAGAAGCTGCCGCTTGATTCAAGTAGAGCCACATACTCGAGAGGCCAGATCGAGAAAGAGACATAAAAGCAATCTGCCAGTTCTTGGTTATTTTATGGCTAAGGACAATGGTTCTTGGTTATTTGATCAAAACATAATCAAGTGCAAGAAAACTATTTTTTCTTTGACAGCCAAATGTTCTAAAAAAAGACATCTAACATATTTTGCGCAGTGCATAAACCATGCAGAAAATTTTTCTTTTCTTTTGGGGGCGTCATTGCAACGAGCATGGGGGAATTGGTGCCCCTTTTGTCCAGTTTGTCTCGCAGTAGCTTTGTCTCGTTGAAGAAGAGATGTGCATACATACTATCTGGCACGAATGAAATGTGAACATCGTGGCCTTGGATACGTGCTGCACGACCTAGATGTAATTAGTAAGTGATGAAACTGCGGCTTGTTTCTGCTCAACCAAAATAAGAAGTTTTGCGCATTGTTCATACGCCACACAAAGCAGTTCTTTCAAGACTTGGTTGTCAGAAAAACAAGCGATGCTTTTGGCATTTGAAGCCTGCAAGTGTTGATAAGATAACATATATCTAATCTAAAATGCACCTGCCTATATCTTAATTCTCCAACTAAAGGGGAAAGTAATGCTCCGTGAAAAGCCAGGCCTTCTTTACTAAGGTTCTTGAGGTGAAAACGAGTATAGTTGCCTTTAGGTGGTGCAGCACGTATTGTAGGCCACAGTGTTTGCATTTCATTTATACTGGATAGTACCTGAAGAAAACTGTCTGGGTAATTTCCATTCTTTCTAACATATGTGTTCTGAATATGTGTGCTTGATCTTTTTGACTGCTTTTTATGAGATATTTATTGCCTAGTGAAATTTAGGTGATGGTACAGTGTTGCAGGGGTGTAGTGGAAAATTGGAATAATGATATCATCCTCGTTTTTGCACTGCCAGCCTTGCACTTGTTGCTCGAGTGGTAACTTTAGCGTACACTTCCCAAGTGCTCCAATTGTTTCTAAAACCTACTGTTTTAGTGGTTTTCAATGACACTCGGCAAGTTTCTAATGGGGGTTTACTTCCCCAACTAAAAAGATAATTATCAAATTTTAGTTAATTATTTGACTTATTGCGACGATTAGCCCCCTGTATTATGTCTCCCTGGCTGTGTAACTTGCCCTCACAAACGATATTAGTGTACCTTTTGCGCCTTTTTTTTTATGGGTCTGTGGGAATCAAAATCTGTGTATGTCGAGCAGCCGTGATGCTACTAAAACGATTAGCGACTGGCTCAGACTGAGCGGCCACAAATGGTTGCAACGCAGTCGATGGCATTCAGTCGGTCCTGGGCGTATTGGGTGGCTCCACCCTCGACTCGGGATCTCTGGATTGGCACAGATTGCGTACCCTTTTGCGCTGCAGAGTGAACGTGGTGGTGAGCCGAACTCTGGAGAAAGTTCCGGACGGTCACCACGTGGCAAGGAGCTTCTCGGACGCCCTCAGCCTACTCCAACCGCTCGTGGACAGCGGCAAGGTGAGTTGGCCCCACATTTCGACCAACTTGAAGGACTCGTCCTGTGTCGTCTGGGTGCGCCGTTTTAATTTTTTCTTTGAAAAAGAACCTCTTTTTTTGCCTTATTGTTGACTGAACTCCCCAAACACAGTGTTTTTGGAGTCTTGGGAAACCAAAACATACGAGTGACGTTGCACTTGTGCAGAGGGTACACTCTGTCACGGAGCTAATGTGAAGGTTAAAGTCGTTAAGAAGACGAGGACCAGTAAAATAAGACACACACACCACAGAGCACACTTGCAACTGAAGTTTAATCTGAATATCGGATAGGAAGAAAAGCCTATACAGTCGCCGACCGATTAATCGGGCTTTGCACGGACTGAAAAAAACGTCCGAATAATAGAGCAGTCCGAAAAATCAGCAGATTCAAAAACTTGCCTTTATTACTTCCAAGTGGGCTTAAAAAAGGCATAAATAGTGCCTTGCTTCAAGTTACGCCTGCGTGCCTTGTTTTAGGTCACGCCTCCGTTTGCGTTGGGCAACTTTCTGTTAGCTTGAGAATCGCTCCCTTCTTTCCTAGCGTTATGGTCGAATACTTTCTGCACTTCTTTGCGACACATCACGGCGGCAGAAGAACAGACGGAGACGTGCCGTTCAAGCCAGCATTGTCCGAATGAGAGGAGAGGCGCAAAATGGCGACTAGCGATGCGAAAGTGGGGCGGAGGCGCGAAGGGATGAAAGCGATGGAAGGAAACAAAGCAAAATTATAATAATGATGATGATGATGATGATAATGGCATGCAGCTAAATGAAAAAAAAAAAAAAAAAATGGCTAGCATAGCGTCACTTAGGCTGTGTTCCAAATCTTACCCTAATGGATCCGAGTTACTCCGGCGGATCGTGTCACGTGACGGCACAGACTGAAAAACGCTGGACGCAGGTAGGTTTCAGAACGCCAAGGGTACAAAACCCTTACCCTGGAGTATGATAGAGTAAATTTTGGAACACGGCCCTAGTGGTAGGACTCATGAGTACTCAAGTTGCGCTGCCAAACCAAGCCAATCCATTTGCAGCCAACATAGAATTCAAAATGGCCGCTTCTCGGTTATGGTGGCCAGAAGGGGAGGTGGCAGCATTGGCCGCTGCGGAGTGTAGCGGCCAATCATGCTAGCATGCTAGCAGCGGCGGCGCTGCTGTCGACACTTAGATCGGTCGGCTTGCCGGGCAACCGCCCGCGAACGTGCTGCAAGGCCGGCGGTTCGGACTTTGTCGGTGGCATTTCATATGCACAAGAACCACTTTTGGTATTTGTGGGACATTTGTTTGTTACATTGATAGCAAAGCGCTATTTGTGAGTGGGTACGCACAAAACAAAAATCACGCTAAGGACACGCAAGCGTACAGCGCATCAAGCATGATCGGTTTTCCTCGCGCGCCCACACTGCCTAAAGGTAAAGCATTTCTTTTTTTACGCGTGAGCGTATATGCGCCCATTTTCACGAGAATCATGTCATGTCTGAAACTCGGTGTTTGTTTTGGCACGTCATTTGTCATTTGATCAGAAGGTCATTCCGAAGCGTATTTCATACGCTTCTGCATGCCACTGGCATCCAGAAGCCTTGAGTGATCCGAGAAGTGAGTGGGTAAGCGTGGTGGAAGCTTCTAAAACCATCCAACATTACGCGTAGCAGCTGGATACAGCCAAATTGGGATTTCGCATAAAGCGAGTAATGTTGGAAAACAAGTCTTTCAAGCTGAAACGAAAATATCTGCTTCTGTCGGGTCGTTACTGGCGGGATGCCGGGGCTCCTCATCTATACCTGCCAACTCTTCCGAATCTTTCGTAAAATGTATGAATTCGGTCTAATTTTACGACTGTACAAATCTTGCTGCAAATTTTACAAAAAAAAAATTATAATTTTGTTTTTCATTTTTTTTTTGTAAAATTGCTGTTGGCAGTACTTTGCACCGCCACAAGGGGGCGCTAGGTACCGTCGACGGCAGCGTCGTGGTTTTTACTGTTCGTCTATCCGGTGGCCACGGATCCAAAACCAATCCAAAGCCCAAAGCCTGTGTTTGGCAACGCACGTTGGTGTGGCGTGTTGGGCCTTGCTGTTTCGGCCAGTTTCGTGGCAAGCAGAGCGGTGTCTGTGTTTGTTGCACGTATAATCATAGCATTTCTCTAGTCGCGGTGGCTTCGCGGCGCAATGGCGAACTCCAAACCTCAAAAGAGGTACTTTCAGGTGTTCCTGAAATGCTAAACGAAGGAATTCTTGTGTTCGTGCCGTCCAAGAAGGGAGAGATGTTTGGATTCTGTTGCATGTGCACATGTGATGTAAGCGTTTTGCGCGGTGGCAAGGCTGACAGTAAGCTGCACATCGCTTCGCGTAAACACCATGGATAAGTGCCTGCCTCTTACTACTACTACCCACCTCCCCCCCCCCCCCCCCCCCTTGCGGGAGTTTTACGAATTCGAAAGTCCGCAGGTTGCCAAATATGCTCATCTCTGCGGCCGATGGGAAAACCTGACTTCCCTGGCCCCGTACCAGGAGCAGAGAGACGGGTTTTTCCGTAGCGGCGACGACAACAGGCGAGGTCGAAATCTCTGCAGAATGTCGCGCGTGAAGCTATTGCTTCAAAATTGATACCAGTTCGTCAATGTGCATACCTTGAAAATAGCACATGGGATGTTAATTTTGCCCTGTATACTGAACATAGTACCTATTGTTATTAATTCTAGTGCAACTATCTTGACTGCCCAGTTATACGGTTTACTATTGGCCAGACTATATTATCAAAAATAGGCATCCATACTCTGTAGTTCACACTGATTCACTAAGTGCTCTGAGAGCATTCAGATCCCTTGAGATAGCAAAAAAACGCCCTAATAACTCAGCTACAACATAAAGTGGTTGCTGCGGCTAGGGACAACAAATTGCAGATAGTCTTTTGCTGGGTGCCTAGTCATGTGGGTATTCCCGGCAATGAAGCTGCTGATCGTGCCGCTTCCACATGTGCTACAAGGAAGGTTGATATTCAAGACATACCCTACAAAGACTACAAAGCGACCGTAAAGAAAAGTATCAAGGTTAAATGGCAAGAGGAATGGTCCCACAAAACCAGCAACAAACTTTAAGTGGTAAAGCCGATGCTACAGGAGTGGCCGAAAGCCCGTCACAGGGACCATTTTTTTCAGGTAGTCCTTTCGTCGGCTAAGAATTGGCCACACACATATAACACATGGGTATCTGCTTCGCAGAGAGAATCCACCTGCATGCAAACACTGCTCAGAACCATTAACTGTAGTGCATATCCTTCTTGAGTGCCCCGCATGTCAAAGATACAGTGTAGACCGCATATAATGTATGTCGCGGGAGTCGCGAAAATCCGCACTATAAGCGGTACCGCGCTATAACCAAAACATAAATTTTTCAGGCCAAAACTTACCTTTGTAAAACAATTTATTTTATGTTAAATGAAAAATAAAGCTTAGTTTGAGGAAAGTCTTTATTTCACCAGACTAGTACACTTCTCTCTTAAGTGTGTCGCACATTTTGTAAGAAATGAGTGACTTTTGCCTGGCGCAGCCGGACGGACGTTGCGAGCGTTCAGGATTGCTAACCCTAATCACTTTTCTCCGGCGATGAAAACGCGTGAAAATTCGCATCCTTCATATGGTACGCGCCAGTAATACCTTCAACTTGAGCACAGGCATGAAATGTGCCAAATAAGAAATCCGGGCGATGTTCGAAAACACAAATGCTTAGAAAGCACCATTGTATTCGAAGTAAACAAACACGACGACACGGGCGTTTCTGCCGTTTTGAGAGTGCCGCCACAGCATCGCCGCACGAGTAGGTGGATCTTCCCTTCTAGTACGTGCTGGGTTATCATAGCGACACACAACGAAAATTCAGTCAAGGATAGCGCTTTTTCGCGGAACGATGAGCTTCCACCACGCTACGGTGGCTCCGTAACTACGCCGTCTACGTCGACGATCACAACCGGCGCCATGTTCGCGGATAGAAACAGCCGGCCCGCGGCCGGCATGCAACGTGCGCGAACACTTCTCCTCGACCCGCGATTGGTCTGTCGTTGCGGTTGTTTGTTTCCAACGCAGCGGAGGGACGTAGCACGTGAACAACACGTGCGTGCGTCCCTCCGTTGCTATGGCAGCTGAAGCCTCTCTCTTCGCTTCTCTCCACTTCTTCGAGCAACCTCCTTGCCCCGCGAGGGCCGCTCGCCAACTTGCGGCTCGCACTGTTATATGTCGCACAGGGAAGCGTGCTCGCTGCGCTGGTCAGTCGGCGCGCTGTTCCAAAAACCGCACTATAACCGGTATTTCCCTTAGCGCGCCTGCATTTTAAGCGGTATGTAAATACATGGAGTTCTATGGGAGGCGAACCGATGGTTTAAAAAAGCCGCGTTATACCCTGTCCTGCACTATAAGCGGTCACATTGTAAGTGGTCTATACTGTACTGCCAATTCCACTTTGCCCATTTTGTTCAGCACACATGCCTCTACACCTTGCTCTTCTGCTTGGAGATGAACCGTTTATAAATCATACATAGGTTTTTAAAATCTTAGAAAGCTCTTAACTTTTATGCCGACTTTTAAACTACCTTAGCAGCTTTTAAATTTTTCATCTACCTTATTTATATACACATTCATGTCCATAGTTTTATTCTATGAGTGGCCACTGAGCCCTCTTCCTTCTCTAAAAACCGTGTCTTGAAGTAGTGGCAGATTTTGGCGCTCTGTAGCCTTAGATGCTTTTGTGCTAATAAAACTCTGTCATTCAGTCAATTGATCAAACTTTGCTGAATATGGTCGAATGACGGACAGCGCCTGTCAGCCGATCGCGATCTATGGGTTCCCACGTGGACGGGCGGGGCTGATTGGCCGCTTGCGCACGTGGAAACCGATAGTTCGCGAGTGGCTGACAAGTGCTGTGTGCCGTTCGACCACATTCAGCAAGTTTCGGTAGTGCCATCTGTCTTTCTGCGCCGACAATAAGTGTCCGTAACTTTGAACACTTTTTTAATATGCAAATCGGTTGCACATGAATGTAAGTTCAAGTTTTTTAAGATGCTTAGAGTTCGTAGATTGGGTTATGACCATAAAACGAGGATCTCAAAATGCCCTTTAGGGTCCCTTAATGCCGTTTACAGACCTCTAAAAAAAACTTTTAACGAGTCGCGAGATTTTTCTGGTTTACGGCTCAAACTTGCCTGTCCCAGACTTTGCACCAATGTTCGGACAGATATGCCCACCGCCTGCAGTCGGCAAATTCGAAAAAGTTCCAACATCTTGGAACTTTTTCATTATGGCAGAAAAATTACGTAGACAACTGGCTGGGCTAGGCCATTGTTCGGAGCTTGAATCATTCCTTGGTTTCCCCGAGTTGCGTTGCCAATGAATCCATCCATACCGACTAAGATAGGGGAGGTTGTAAATTTTAGGGGGAGACAATTGCACGTGACAATCACCAAGTACGAGTTTGGAACCCCCCCCCCCCTCCGGGGTTTACGCCGATGCCCGGCCCAAGCGGCAAAGATGCCTCGAGGAGAGTCGCTGCAAAGCGGTGCTCGTCTTGGTGTCGCCGCACTCTCGTTTCGAGTCTCGGCGAGATGCCCTGGGGGCGATGTTGACTCGGGCCTTGTGTTCTAGCTGGGCTCTACACTTGTGACCAGACGTGACCATGTACTGCTTAGAACCACCAGCATACCTGCCAACTCTTCCAAATCTTTCGTAAAATGTAAGAATTGGAACTGATTTTACTAATATTGCTTCAAAGTTTGGTAAGAAACATAAAATTACAAAAAGAAAATGTAAAAAAAGTTACAAAAGAATGCTAAAAAGAGACTACTGCTGGCGGTACGGTTTTTAATATTCGTCTATCCGATGGCCATGGATCCAAAGCCTCTGTCTGTGTCTTTGGTGGTGCACGTTGGTTCGGTGTGTTTAGCCGTGGTTGAGCCTCACCGTTTCGTCCAATTTCGTGGCGACCAGTGCGGCGTCTGTGTTTGTTGCACGTGTAATTGTGGCATGCCCCTAGTTCCAGTGGCTTCACGGCACAATGGCGAACTCCGTACCTCAAAAGTACTTTCAGGTGTTCCTGAAGTCCTACACGTCAAAATTCTTGTGCTTCGTGCCGTCCAAGAAGGGAGAGAAGTTTGGATTCTGTAGCACATGCACGTGTGATGTAAGCTGCACATTGCTTCGCGTAAACACCAGGGATATGTGCGATATCCCTGGTGTTTACTATCGTTCACCCCGAAAAGTGCCTTCATCCTACTTCCCCCCCCCCCCCCCCCCCCCCCCCTTCCTTTGCAACCGCAGGAGTTCTACGAATTTGAAAGTCCACAGGTTGGTAGGTACGCATCAGTCTCTAGACTGGAAACATTAAGTTTCGAGTCCAGATAGTACAACAATAATCGGTTAGAACAAATCTTTGGGTTCCCCCATAAGTGGATTGCACTGTATTTTTGAAATTCGTTCTGGTTTGCATTGGCTATGGCGCCTGAACGTAGGACGCGTGGCTCTGCAGGTGGACAAGACGTTTGTGGTGGGCGGGGCCCAGCTGTACCGGGAGGCCCTGGCCGACCCCCGCTGCACGCGAGTCTACCTGACGGAGATAGACGCCGACTTTGAGTGCGACGTCTTCTTCCCCGAACTGGAGCCGGGCCAGTTCCGGCTCGTCCAGGAGGAGGGGGTGCCCCAGGAGGAGCAGACGGAGGGCGGCCTCACCTACCGCTTCAACGTCTACCAGAGGATCTCTTCGGGGTCAGTTTGAGCCCCGTGTTTCCTTAAATGGAATTGACGAAAGGAAGGTAATACCTGCATTATTGTTCACCATTAAAGAGCTTGCCGTTTACTGTTTTTATTTATGTATTTATTTATTCGTAATGTTGGCCTTTTGGTCGTTGCAGGAGTGGGTTGTTAGTAAAATTACAAAATTTTTAAAGCACACTTTCCCAAATGATATGCACATTAATGATTCAAACACAGATGCCTTTAAACCTATATAAATATCATCCAAGTAACAGGGGTGGAACGGCTGCGCCATTTGCGCCATTTTGCACCAGACGCATCTGTCTGCGCCGTCCTGCGCCACAGCCGATACCTCGCGCCATTATGCACCAAATCGCAAAACATGCGCCAAAACAAATTGGATTTTGTTTTGGTTTCGGTTTTTATCGACTCAATTGGCAACAATGAGTGCGTTTAGCTTGGTCGTCCTTGCAATCCTTTGTTCTTTTTATTCTCCCTGTGTATCCCGTGTCTGAAGCGGGCGAAAAAACTCGGGGTCGGATTCCAAGCGCCGCACCACCTGCGAGTAGATTGCTATTCTTCAACCATAAGCGGTTAAGGGGGGACACTACCCAGAAAAACAATTTCTGCAAAAAAAAGTTGATTTTCAAAAATGTCATATTTACATCCACCAACATCTAGAGAGTATTCCCAGAAAGTTTCATTAGTTTACACTGCATAGTTAATTTTTTATAAATTATTTTCGGTCCTCCGATGCTAAAGAAAAGGTAGAGGTTGGAGCACTTTGAACGCATTTTTCTCCATTCCCCTTTTTGGCATAAAATTCACTTTAGGAAAACTATCGTTTTGTTATTATGCAACTTGGATTCATTTTTATGAATTTTTCTGGAGTGAAATTTTAAGGGGAAGATAACTATGAGCTTGTATTTTTTATTTTTGTAATTTTTCATGCTCAAGAACTAAAAGTTTGGACAAAGGATGGAAATCTAAAAAACTGTATTTGTGTTTATGTGGCTTTTTTGTCATGAAAGATGGTATAACATAGAAATATAGCTCCATAGTTATCTGCTTTGAACTGTCCTAATGCAATATAACACATGAAAACAACAAATTTATAAGTAATTTCAAAACGATAGTTTTCCTAAGCAGACACGCCTACTTTTGTCTTTGAACGTTTGCAATTTCTTTTGTACTTCACCCAGGTTAACAAAAATTGGCAGAAATGTTCTCAACATCAACAGAAACAAGCAGTGTAAATATAATTTAAATCCGACAAGTGGTTCAAAAATTTACTCTTTTGGGTAGTGTCCCCCCTTAAGCAAGTCGGCCGAGGTGAGGTTGAGTCGTTATTCATCAGATTGCCTGAGGCTCTGCGGCCCAGGATCCGGACGTCGTCAGTTGAAAGCAAATGAGCAAAAGATTTCGCTTAGCACTTCATCGTTAGAAGTTGGAACCGCATTCCCGCAAGATAAATCGTCATTTGATAGAACTGAAACGCGGTCCGATCCGAAACCTTGCCAGCCAGTAGCTCTCTGGCGAGCGGTAGATCTGCTCGGCGTACTTTAACCTTGCGCCTGCTTATCGCTTTGAATACGATAACTCCCTTAATCGTAATTTGCTGCTTCGATATTGAGTTGCACAATAGGATAAACTCGAAATTTGTTGCCCTGTTCCTCCGCGCAACTGCACGTCCGTTGCTTACGCACGTTACGTGGTTCGCAGATATAATTACTACGTCCAGCCTGTGTGGGTTGCGCGATAAGCAGTGCTGGTTTCGAATTTGAGCAGCTGAAAGCCACTCAGAAAATGTGCAGGACACTATCTTCAGAAACATATGGTACTTTATTTTTGGTTCTCATTAAGGCTCACAAAGTTTCAAGTTTTCGCATCTATTACACTGTTATCCCATCCACCTAAGGTCCCTAACCACTCATGTTCATCTGTACTGCTAAGCACAATTGAAATTTCTCCCGTGCTTGTCTAAGGCACAAGCTGAAGTGCAATGAAAGCTGACCTGGGCTGCTGCTAGCCTGCTCCAGAATGTAGTCTTAGCTGCTCCCAACCCGCTCCAAAACAGCTGCTTCAGCTGCTCCCGTGGCTGCTCCCAAGTACATTTCATGAGTTTCACCCCTGAAGTAAGGAACACAGAAAAGGAGCGAAAGGAAATTATGTATATTGTTGGGCAAGGCCTCTCAGGCCGACTTCAACAACCTTGAACGGTGTCACATTCAGAAGCATCTTGCGGAAGGCTGTTCCACTTGGCCATAGTCCTCGGGGGGAAAAAAGGAATACCTAAAAAGGTCAATCCAGGCTTTCATAGGCCTCAGCATTTCAGTACGACTGCCCCGAAGTCCTCTAGTAGAGAGAGACTTTAAATATCCTAGTAAATCTTGACCTTCTGTTTTTCCTCATGTTCCTCTAGGTATTTGCTTCCCTTACTGGGCCAGACTGCCAGATATATTTGTATTTTCCTACGAGGTCTATTAGAATGTCTTGCATCCTCAGGGGTTCCCTCTTTTCGTCGTTAAACACCATTACCCCAGACTTGTCACTACTAAAACTCATGCCCAGGGTGCCCCCCTCCTCTCCGCATATTCCAGCTAGTTCCTGTAACCCAGTGGTTCTCAGCCATTGATGTTTCGCAGACCCCTTGTGGATCGCTTGAGATGATGGAGGACCCTGTTTGTGGTGAGGGGAAGGGAAAGTATAACTTAATTATGACAGTGATTTAATAAATTGATATAAGCAGGGCCTTGTGTGAAGTATACTTCTCTTTCTGACATATACAGGAGGGAACTCACCCAAAAATTGGAATGTTTCTTCACAATCTGAGAAAAGACAACTTTTACCTCCGGGCTTGACTGATAAAGCTGGGCTTCGCGGACCCCTAGAATACCTTCGCGGACCCCAAAGGGTCTGCGGACGCCCATTTGAGAACCGCTGCTGTAGTCTATCCTGGTTATCTACCATAAGTACTATGTCGTCTGCATACATCAGTCCTGGTATTACCGGTACTACATTTCTCCCTCCTTCCGTATAACTTGCATCAAAATCTAAGCTCTGCTCTAATTTCTTTTTCATTTCCCCGAGATATATCATGAAGAGCAGAGGTGACAGTGGACAGTCCTGCCTGAGCCCTTCCTTTATTGCTGCGGGTTGTGTGGTTTCTGCTTCCCGTGTTAGAACTATCTTATTGTCTGTGTACACCTGCTGAAGAAACCTAACCAAATTTGCATCTAATACCTCAGCTGACCCCAGTTTTTCCTGGCTCACATTGTCGTACGCCCCCTTGATGTCCAAATAAGCTAACCATAAAGGGGTTTGGTTCTTCATTGAGTGGTGATGAATAAGTTACCTTATAGTCTTATCTCTTCGGAATCCATTTTGGAGCTCATCCAGTATTTGCATATCTTCTGCCCATTCCTCTATTTTACGTTTCACTATCTGGACAGCTAATCTTTTACAGTGATGGAAGTGCCATTTGACCTTTTGGAGCAGGCCTTGTAGCAGGCAAAATGTTGTTTTGGAGCAGGTAGTGGCCCTTTTGGAGCAGGGTCCGGCATATGTTAGCATAATACTTGAAAATGAAATAATGCTGCGTTGCTACATAAAGCCCATCTTTATTATTGGAACACAGCGCCTGTCGCCTTTTTAAGACAGGATATATAAAATTCAACAAAGTAAACACACACACAAAAAAAAAAACATTTTTTAAATAAAGTTTATCTGCTCGTCAGACAAAAAAATACAATTAAAAATGTCACACTGAGTTCTGATGGTACAGAATATTTAGTTTTATCAGCCTGCACTTCTTTTAAGGTATCTGTAGCAGCACCTAACGACCTTCACTGTTGTGGAATGTTTTAGTTTGGGTTAGTGTTGTCTTTCGGACAGCAACTTCAAATATTGCGGTATCTGATATTCGCTTCAAAAATTCCGATTCATTTTCAATGTGCTGGTGAAGTCACGATCGGATCACGGCGAGTTAAACCGTTGAGTGCGCTCCTTGGCATGCACCGACGCGCTGCAGAGAAGTGACACCCGCGGAGCAGACACCGCCGTCGCGCGAGTCGCGCAGTGCTTTGTGCTCCGAAAAGGACGGTGAGGCTTTACCAGCACTACATCCAGAGTTTGGTACAACTAAACTATACTTTCTTTCAGCTTCGGTGCGAGCGCAGCCGAAGCTACAAGCGTGTGCATGGAGCCCGTAACGGTACCCGCACTGCACGAGCCCACGCGCGAGTCAGGAATGCACAGAGCATTGGGCTCGCGCTAGCTTTGACTTCGCTGGTAGCTATAGTCGGATGCAACCTAAGAACAATATTTTAGCTCCACCCACAAGCGCATTGCACCCATCTGAAGTGCCTCCGCCGTCGAGAAAGAAGTTCGCTAGCAACGTTGCTTTTTCTTCCTCCAGGAAACGTGTCTTAAACTGCTACAATATTTATTTAATTCATTCAGGACATTTAAATAAGTTAGAATACGGTTTTGTCAACGAAATAGCTGTTTAGTAAAGAAAGAAAGTCATATGTCCAATGTACCGTCTTCCCAATTCATTTTCTGTCCAAGATACTGTCTAACATACCGTCTAACATACCTCTCAGCAGTGTTGCGGAATGGGCACCTCCATTCCATTCCAATTCCATTTCAGGAATTAGAGTTTTCGATAATTCAATTCCTTTCAACTCCTAGGAAAGGGGACACTGGGCCCATTCCCACTCCTGGAGTGGTTGAATCGTTCCATTCCATTCCTCTAATTCCTAAACGTAAAAATTGACACTGTGCAATGTTTCCGGCATAAGCAGCATAAAGCTGATCACATTGTCAAACGCCTACACACTTGCAAAAAAAAAAAAAAAAAAGTTAAATGCCTCAATAAAAGCACTGATCTTACCAAGCTTACAATGCTGGATTGCCTGGGGCGACTCGAAGCGTCCGCAGCGGTCCATCACAAGGTGAAACAAGGTATGCAGTGACTAAAGTCAAAGAAAATGAGCGGGCATCCGCTAGCT